CTAGACATCTAGTGATTTGTGTCTTCGTGTTGGACTCACAGCCAGATTTCCAACTGAAGATCTTTACAAGAAGTGGCAGGAAGAGTTTACGCATCCTGTCAGATTGACGAATGATCAGTGCATGCTGGCATCCCTCCTTGATCTAAATCCTACCCATCCCAAAGTTAATTTATCGCCCAGGGTCCCTCTTACAGAAAATGGAGCAGATAAATGTTGTTGTCAGTTTAAAGTCAACAAGGAATGAAATCCTGAAGAAAAAAAAATGTTGGGACAGGCTGCTGTCAAAATAAATGTTGCATTAGGCTTGTCTTTTTGGATGTTGGAGGATGAGTGGAGAGTGATTTATGCAGATTCCATGGATGCTTTGGGTTGTCCAGTAGGAGGTTGATTTGTTATGGGCGCCTACACTTGCTGTAATGATACTGTACTTTTACCTGATCATGTCAGGCTGGTTGAACCCTGTCAGTAATGTTTGGAGAGTTTTGCAGGGGGCACAGTCTTGAAGATGTTGTGGTGGACAGTTTTTTATCATTGAAAATCATTATGGATTCAGTTTTATTGCTAGTTTGCCCTAGTTTCCTTTTCTACTCCCATCTTAAAGGTGGTGGACGCCATTTGCAAAATTCAAAAATTAAAGTGTCAAAATGTCGTGAAATATTCTTCTTGGTTGTAAGTAAATAATAGGATCAAGCATCCTGTGAAATCATTACACCTGGTATACTGTCATGTTTTGAGAACAGTGGAATTCATTACCATTTCCTCACGATGGTTAGGACCAAATCATCACGCTTTCAATGGAAACCTTTATGCTTTGCATCGAGTAAAATGAAGATGCATTTGAACAGTTTTCTCAAAAGTGTGAAATCTACTGAGCTGTAATTTGGACAGGTTTTTTATTTATTTAGATTTTTGTGTTGTTTCTTGAATGGGCAAACATACATTTTTTTGCAAGTGTTGTGCATTATCTGTAACCTTTAGCAAAAGTAACTCCTAATAATTTATGTAATTTACTGTAACTTGCTCCAAGTCAAGTTCCATGACATCAACTACATGTTAATTCAAAATAGGTTTGAGCTTCCTCTTCTGTTGTATTGGCTCCAATTGGCCTTGTCACAAAACAAAACAGGACAAGCCCAGTAAAAGCTGGTCTCAGATTGCACCAAACTTCTATTCAGTCGATTCAGAATAGCTATCACAGGAAGTTTTTGCTACTGCTACCCACTGTATTTAGCCCATTCATTGGCATTATAGGGTAATCCTATACAATAGCACTGCCCAGTTTAAAAGTGACATCAGTCAGTCAGTCAGTCAGTCAGTCAGTCAGTGAGATACTAGGCACAAAGAGGACTCTAGGCTGGCCCTCTGGGACCAGCAAAAAAAGGAAAGTTGTATGATTTCTTCATACTGTAATTGGCATGCTGTCGCTCATCTAATTGTAATCTGTTCCTTGTGTCACCACCAAAGTTTTGTTTTCTTAAATACTCCATGTATTACTTGACTCCCCCCCCCCCTTCCATCACTACCAAAAACTACATCCTTGAGACTCAGAGAGAGAGAAATTCCTGACTTGCATCTATCCATCCAGTGGTTTATTTTCCTGGTCAGAAGCAGAACGTGTCTGGAGTCATATTGTCTAGCTGGTGGCAATAGGGAGACTTACAGCTATACTTGAAATGGTTGGATGAGAAAAACCAACAAGTTTTGGTGAAGTGTTGAGTGGAAGCTGCAAGCTGCTCTGTGGACCGCAGTGTATTACAAGACCTTGGTGAATGTTACACCAGAATCGATGACAGAATAGTGGAACCAGCCTTGTGTTTCTCTTGTCTACTGGTTCTGACTTCTGGCAATGACAGTAAGAAGTCAATTTGATGTCACTAAACATTTGCAGCAACATTATTGGAAGTTGAAATGTGAAGAGTGAATACTTGCTGTGACTGCCAGATACTCCCCTCATCTTGATGCCTTCAATGTTTGCATTATCTGTTGTTATAACGACTCGTCTTTAATAAAATCGCTTGTCGATTGATAAGGTGCCTCTGCACTACTAAGAATACCTAGATTTAGGTAGAAATATTTTTTTGGGGGGGGGGGGGGAGCTGGATAATATTTTGGAGTATGTTAACACAGTATCAGGAGCTCTTCTATTACTGAGCTACCATTATTGTGGTGGCAGGCTCCAAATTTGTCAACGTCTGTGTTCAAGGGATGCTAGTCAGAAGTCACAAGTAAATCACAAGTCAAGTCACAAGTATGAACAATAACAAAGGAATACCTGTGTCGCAGTTCATGAATAGCTTGTGAGTTGACTTTGGACTGGAGGACTTGTGGAGGACTTGTGATGGACTAAACTATAACACGGCTAAAATGTCTTAAGTGATGTTCTAGCTTGACTCGGCCCTGCTAAAGTTTAGCTGTGTGAGGAGGAGACTTGGTATAACAAAAGACCTTTTCACACTAGCCTACCCGAGTTGAAAATTGACATGGGGTCCACCTCGGGTCCCATCGAACATGGGTAGGCGAGGCACACCGTTCACACATACACTGGTGTGTATATGGGTCGGCTGAAGATTATGGATTTTCTACCTGGGTAGAGCTGCTCAACCCTGTCCCAACTATGGTTGGATACGGTATATCACCCGTGTAGATCACCAGACCCATGTAGAAGCCATGCCAAAAATCTTGCTAGTGTGAAAGTGGCTCCCAAAATCTCTGTGTTGGTCCCGGGTCATACACAGAGATTTGGGATAGTGTGAAAGACCTAAAGTAGAAATAGAAAAACTCAACTCCAGTTCCCACCTTAAGACTTGGCTCCAGCATTAACTACTACATTCAAATTCAAAGTCTTGTCAGAAAACTTCCTAACATCATCTGTTATTTCACTACCATGCTTGTGTTGACAATTTTGTAGGTCCCTAACCTTGACGGAAGGGTTCAACCAGAGTAGCAAAGTCTCTCTGGAGACGCAGCATCTCTGCTCCCCTCACCAAAATACATCATTAACAAGGCTGGTGTAACAAAACAGACATGTTATTTCTTCTTCAGAACATCTGTTGAGTAGTCAGGGGACTCCTTTGTGAATGGCCTTAGCAGAGAACTGCCATAGTCTAAATACGTGACTGGTCTGGGACCTGTAGTCTGGGGAAGTCATTATGGTCTGCGCCATTTGTTGCATCCATAACTATGTCTGTCAGACTTACTGCTGCCACCTTTGACAGATACATGAGTGCTTGCTGAACATTTTCCAACCCAAATTTTTTTTTTGTGGGGGGGGGGGGGGGGGGGTGGGTTCATATGAAGGTTCATTTCAATTCTAGGGAATTTCAGACTTGTCTTTGACATATGTAATTGAGTATGGTGATTTTTTTTCTTTTTAAACGAAGGTCAATGAAAGCATGTTGCTTTTGTTACATGAAGGTCAAAACATTCAATATTCATTCTGGAAATTCATTTTCAAAAAGAAAACATTTCTGCTCTGAGAGGCAATGAGTCAATAAGCCTCCGTACTGATGACATCACACTTTGTTTACATGTGTGCTTTCTTATGGGAGCCTTGTGGGGACGACAGTTTCTTCGTAGCCCCATAGAAAAGTGCACAAGTAAACAAAGTGTGACGTCATCAGTACAGAGGCTTATTTTGATGATAAACACTGTAGTAGTCTTACTTTACATCTCAACCGACAATACAAGTGCAAGTACATCTAGGCCTTTCCTTCCATTTAAAAATAAGCTCTATTGAAGAAACCATTCTAGTCATTCTGGTCTTCCTGTTTCCAATTACACAAACTGCTATTAAAATGAAAATATTGCAAAGTAAACCAATTTTTTGTTTCAGTTGAGAAATTTAATAAAAGTAGAATTCCAGCCTGTAAGTCTTACACAGTCTTGTCAGTTTCCCAAAGTTGCAATCGACTTTCAGACAATATAGTTTGTTTGAAACATGTATTACCTCGAAAACAAGCTGAAATTCTTTGATTTCACTGTGTAATATTTTTTGGGGTCAGCCAAACTAGTCTTTATTCAAAAATGAACATCTCTGTGCTTTGTATACACTTGGCCCTATTTAGCATGCACAGGTGGTACACTTCAAGACATACCCACAGGTAACCCACCCTTCCTCACTAATACTTCCGGTTTCAAAATCATTTTCGGATCCCATAATTTGGCAAATTGATCAAGGGTCTCATTTTGGGGGGATGGAGGGTTGACTCTAGCTCCTGGCAGGTGGGTAGCATGGGTGGGCCCCATGGTGGTCTAGTCATTGGGGTTCAACTGATGGGAGGCATGCTCTCCTTAACGCAGTGATGAGAGATATATCTTGGTGACCCTGCCCTAAGGAACCATTGGCATAGCTTGGGAAACCCTACCGGTAGATGTGTAGGATCTGTGGATGGGGGAACCCCAGCTCTAGTGCTCATTGGAAATCTGAGTTAGGCCATTACTACTGGTATGGTAAGGCTGTGTTCAAATTACTCACCTATGGCTAGAAATTACACACGCACCCATGGAAGGGGCTGCAGCCACTTCCCATAGATCTGTGTGTTATTTCCAGCCGTAGCCAAGTAATTCAGACGCAGCTACATAAATCGTGGGTCTATATAGACTGGTTCCGGGTCCTTCCATTATAGCTTCTCAAGTTCTTATTCTGAATGTTGGAGGCAGGAACCAGTCCACATTCCCATTTTCTTTCAAGGAACCTCGAAAACGAACTTGGAGCATAATGTCTGGGGGGTTTTGGATCAATGTTTGGTTTAGATGTTCCGTTTTATGAAGTCTATCCTGTGTTTCATGAATGACTGCTGTATGGTGTGTGGTGAGTTTTATTTGGATTCTAATAGTGATACGGGGTAGTAGGAAACAGGCAAAGGCAAAAGTTTACATGTACCTCCCAGATTTGTAATGTACATCCCCCCCCCCCCAAGCTGTAATTATGTGGGTTCTGTGGATAGTATTGGGTAAATTATTTTATGTTCAGCTGAGATTTATTCCTATTATCATTTCAGGTGACTATTTTGGTCCGGGAGGGACTTTCTGGATGGAATGAGTCGGGCATCATGCGTTGGAATCTTGGAGAAGTGGGATCTGGTAAGTTTTGAATCATAATTTTATATGAAATGAGCACTTAAACGACTTTTGATGGAATTAACGTTTTACCCCGTCTAGAAATTACCCTGGTAGAAATTATTTAGTAACAATTATGTAGGGCCTAATGTCATTGACCCGGTGACCCCTGTTCTATGAAATTAGTTCGTTATTCCGGTCCTTGGTTATAGTTTGTAGTAGCCTAGCGAGAAAAAAAATGGGGGGGGGGGAAGGATGTTCAGGAGGGATATTAACCAATTTCTTCCCATTTGCAGAGATTGCATTCAGTGTGTTGATCAGATGCGGGGCTATGTACATGTATACATCTTCCCTTCTTCTTCCCTCCTCCCCCCCCCCCCCCCCCCCCTCCCCCGCCCTTTTTGTTTGGTCTTGGGGGGCCGGGGTAATGTTCATGAGAATTTGGACAGAATTGAATCTGACTTGCAGTGTATGATCTAGTTGATCGTATGCGACACAAAAAGGTGTAATGAAGTAGAGATTGAACGTTGGATTGATATTTTGTCTTGATCGTGTAAGTTCTGAGGATCTTTGTTCATGCGGAGTCTTACTTCAAACCTGAGCACATCAAGTTAAACGAGAGATGCACTGACTGTACAGTTAAATACCCTGCATGATAAGTGTCACACACAAACGTGGTGAAGAACATCTGCCTAACTTGGCATCCGCTGGTCTGTCATAGTTAGGCAAGCTTCACTTTACAATCTCTAGGCCTGTTATAGTAGCACTAGTTCAATACCTTGATTTAAAATGAAACCCTTCACTATAGATGCAACCATACTGTATGAATCTAACTTTTGGTAGTGTTTACCAAAAGGGCTTAAAGGGAAAATACAACATTTGCAAACATAAAAAAATTAAACTACCAAATCATTTTGAAATACCTTGCTGGACTGTTAGTGAATGTCAGTGTAAAGCATCCTGTAAAATCATGGCACCTGGTATACTGTCATTTTCAAGAAAAGTGGTATTTATGTATCAATTTCCAACGCTGATCGGCCGACCAGCGTTGGAAAAAACTGGCTTTTTTTCAAATACTGGCCCCAGTTGACCATCGCACTTGTTTGCAATCGATTACACACCTATGAACGGGTACAAGCCAGCTAGACTGGTTCCCTGACCTTACAATTCCCCAATGTATGTAAACTGCTCTGTTTCCTTTTAAATGGAGTCAGGGAACCAGACTACAGGAAAATGATTGTTTTTCTTGGTTTTTATAGCATTTTCGAACCCAAAACCTCAAAAAAGTCAGTGTAACTATATTTGCTATATATTTCCAACCCCCAATTCCATCTATTTCTGAAAATTACAGCAAAATCAAATGATGTATATTCCTTTAAAATAAAAATCAAGTCAACTTGAACATTTGTCGTCGCGGCAAGTTTTCTTGATGCAAATTTGCAAAATTTGAACACATTTCAAGTTTTGCTTCAGAGTCACATGCACATGAAGTATAAACCAGCCTTAATTGTGTTACTTGTATGTCACTGCCATTTCAACAACATAAACAAGGCCAAGAAAACAATAGAAAGATGGAAACCGGCAAAGCAAATCTGAAACAAAAGTACAGTGCACTTAACTCTCTGCCCAGTACTCTCTTTAATTAAACACAAAACTAAGTTCTTGTAAAATAGTAATACGCATAATTTCCCCTGGGGTGCTGCTGGCTGGTTAGTCAGAGAGGAAAAAGTGTGACACTGTCCACCAACAAGACAAACCAACATGCCATAATATTGATGGACGAATCCCGTTCTTTTTGTCTTCACGTTAATTTCCATTGACATTAATTACCCTTAATGGCATTGTGCGCTGGCCTCTGCTATGATAGGTTTGTGTTTAAATCCCTTCCTGTATAAAACCCCTAGGATTAAATTCCAGCGGGAAGTAAATTCCAGCTAATGACCAGAGAAATAACAACGAGGCAAAAATAAACCGCTTAGGAAAATTCCCTTCCTCTGTAACGCAGATCGCGACATCTATATCGCAGCTTTTGGTGGATGTACGTACATTGTCTAGCTGCCACCCTTTCTGTGTAACACACGAACGAAGCCCATAATCATTGTTATGATTGGACAGGATTAATCGCCATTAAGCCCATGGCATTACGGTCCCATCTGTATAATAACTGTTTCCTAAAAGGTGGGCGTGTTTTAGGGAGATTTGGGGAGGGGGTAGATAGAATTAAGGTTGAGTGCCAAATTATTACCGCATAGCCCTGTGTTATGTCACATGACTGCAGAACTAGTGGAAATCAGCGCGACATTCTTACATCTATAGAGGAGATAACCATCTCAATCAAGCAATGGTAAATTTGTTGTGTTCTGTGAGCTTCAGCTACTTGGCCTAATTTTATGGCTCTGTCGAGCATGGAATTCTGCGCTTACCTGTACAGTCTACGTTTCTGTGGTTACAGTGCCATCTTAGAATGTACTAACCACAAAGGCACATAATCCTGTGCATATGACACAAGCCAAAATTCATTGCTAGCCCACAAAATAAGATTTTATACAATCACTTTTTTTTCCTGTGGTTAACAAAAAGACAAGGCAAGCCTGGTAAAGCCGGTCCCAGAGCCCACAAAATTCCACTCAACTGATTCAGAATGGCTATTCACTTGGAAGTCTGTTCATGCGGCATTTACGGTCTACACAATAGGCTGGATATAGACTCGATATTTTCTGAGGTGGCACCAGCTTCGTGCAAGTCACGTACAGGTAGTACGGCTCCTTAGACCAAGAGGGCAACCAAAATGTGCGCGCCTTATCTTTAAGATCGCTTGCGGCATGCATGCGGGCATGGCACCACCACAAAAATGGCTTCTAAATTGTTCGGTGAATTCCAGTATAGCCCATCTATTAGCTGCATCATAGTGTAATCCTATACGATAGCACTGTCCGGCTTACAAGTGACAGTCAGTCAGTTTGTCAGTCAGTCAGTCAGTCAGTGAGGTACCGGTAGGTAGAAGAGGATTCCAGGATGGCTCTCTGGGACCAACAAATCTGAAATTGTGGGCTGTAAAATTTCAGCTTTGAGCTGTGGAGATTTTTTTTCCTCAACCAATAAATCAGAACTTATGGGCTCTGTGCACAAGTATCCTCTCAACGGAGAGAAAGAGTGAGTTAGAGGGGACCACTGGAGGAGAAATTTAAAGGCAGTGCCGATGACGCATGACACTCACGTGCACATTAGTCATTCTAACTTTGCGCTATATTGGCATGAACCAGTATGCGCATGCGGTGTGTCCTGTCCTCGGGGCTCTCGAAATTGGTAAAAAAAAACGCCCTCACTTGTTCCTGCTGTGCATGAAGCCCATATTGGCTGCACCATTGGTCATCACTTGGATGGTATCATGTCGACGCTCATCATTTTGTTCATTTGTTCAGTAAATTTGTTCACGCACGAATGCTATCAAAAGATAGATTAGATATAGATTCCTGCTTTTAATTGACGTCACGGACCTACAATGCGTGGGATGCACCGTCATTTTTCACCAGAGCCAATCAATCCGTTACCACATCTTTTGCACAGCTCCCGGCCCCGGTGACATTCATTTACATTAATTTACATTCCATTTCTAAATTTATCGTGAAATATTGATACAGCCCTTACAAGTCCTCCAACCCCAAATGAAATATCGTCCCATTTTGCTATCGCCGGGGACATAAACACCATAACAACTCCACCTTGTCAAAATAAGAACTGATATTTCCCCCCAAGTATGAAATCCATATAACAAGAAAGTAGAAATAGAAAGAGGAAAATTTATTATGTGTCAGCTGGCTTTAGAAATATTCACTCAGTAAACAGCTAAAATGAAAAGGGGGGAAAGAGATATCGGAGTGATTTATTTCAACATCTGTTGGGGAATATTGGGTATTACTTTTGCGGGGTGTGCATTAGCTGAAATTCTTGTAGAACTCCCTGTGTCCTTGTAAACAACCACAGTTCCTCATAAATCTAGAGGATTATTTATCGGGGTTCAGACATTTCGTACTACCAGTCATCTTTTTTTTTTATTTGACCACCTCAACAAGGTCATTATTTTCTTTAAAAAGATAACAAAACTGGAATTGATTATTATTGCAGATGGCGGACATTTTTACGTGCAGCGCCCTCTGTTGAGTAAGATTGGACAGAAACTTTCATGAATCATTGTTAATTGTTTTCATGATTTTATTGTTTCGTATTTCATTTGATTCTATGAGTGAGTGAAAAAAGCTGACATAACATGTATTTTCGGAGGACTTGTCGTTTGATTTTTAAAGCATACCAACCAACTGGTTCTTCTTTTCAGAACCACACTTCTCAAAAGAGATTGTTCCACATGGCGTCACTGCAACTTCACTAGTTTACACCACCGCCATGCAAAGTTTCAAATCTTACATTTAAAACGTAGGACTAGTACCGGCCCCTCGTTCAAAAATCCTGGCTGTACATGTGCTTGTGAACAAGCGTGACGTAGCAGTGTGACATATTTTTTAATGACTGGTATTTGAGTACCTGGATTCTGGAACTAATATCCATAAAGTTTTACAGCCTTGTTCGCTGGCGCCAAGTCAGTAATATCAAGTCTTGAAAGAATGTCAAGACTGAACATAAAAAAAGCAAGAATGAACTTGCAGTTACTCCTGCGGTCAGTGGCATACCATAACTTCAGAAGAAAAAAATGTCGTACAGAAAATTCTGTTTAGTTTTAGGTCATATCATCAGATTTGTCGAGCATTCTTCATAAATATCCAATAAATCTGACAAACTTTCCAAACGATAAAAATAGTATGCATCACTGCATGATGCACAGTTTCTCAGCCATCACAAATTTCAGGTTTGGATCCACATACAGTATTGTATGGTTCATTCCTCTAAGTTTTGATTTCTTTTCTTATGGAAAAAAAAGCCAATTAAATACATATTCCAACTTGCTAGATCCAAGACCATATCATACATTGCTATTTACATGTATGTAAATAGCAATCAGGTAAACGTTT